GTCGCCAACCTCAGGCATCTTCGGGTCTTCGTCGGCGGTGGACGGCAGCACAACCTCCTCGGGCATTGGATGAAGGGGCTGCTTGCCCTTGTTGTCAACGGCTGGGAGCACCTCGGTGCCCATCTCATTGCTCTCCTCAATCTGCACACAATTCATGGAGTCAGGCACAACACATAGTTCATGGCTTATTGAAGAGCATGTAGTTAAAACGGCATGACTGTCACTCTTCCTCCTCTCCACCGTGCCTATATTTACTCACCCTGCCCACCACTATTTACCCACCCCCTCTCTTCTCTCACTATCAATCTTCCTCCTCTCCATCGCCATGAGCTCCAGCTCCAACGCCAACCCCTTCCCGTGGGGTATTGGTTGGAGGGCCTTCTTCCTCGGGTAGTCGGCTGGTGACCCGCACCAAGTTCGAGAACACCATGGAGGTGTGCTCGAACTTCGGCTCCATGGCTGAGATGCAGAAAGAATCTGATGCAGTGCTCATGAGAGCCACTGCACAAGAGCTGAAGACGGTGATTCTTGACCCAGCGAAGGGCGTGATGGCAGTCGACATCATTCGCTGGCCCATGAATCAGGGCATCTCTGACGATGCTAAATGGAGGAAGAGGTGGTCCAAGGACAAGAGCTACTGGGCTCCTAATGACCGTCGTGCCGCAGTGTACTGGGAGAGGGCAATCGTACCGCCGGCGGTCATCGATGGGGAGCCTAAGGAGGAGGAGGAAGAATCGGTGTAGATGCCAGCGAGGGCGCCGGAGCCAGCCCGTCGTACATGGCAGATCGACCTCGACTCCGCCGAGGACGACGACGACGACCCGCCGCCCTACACGACGATGAAGAAGATGAAGGCCAGCCACTCGACCCGCCGCTCCGCACGCCGGTGACGACGGCCGCGGTTAGCCAGTGTCTATTCTGTACCCCCAATCCCCCTTCTACTCCAACCGCATCAACCTCTATTCCGATCTTTCATGAACTCCTATGTACTCGTATGAACTAGTATGAACTACTATGAACTCCTATGTACTCGTATGAACTACTATGAACTGCCATGCTTATCTACCTCTATTCCCCATTCCCCTCTCCGCCGTGGATCGAATCTACCGCCAAATCGAACGCGAAAAAGTAGTGCATGACGAACAGAGAAGTGCTTACCGCCATTGACGCTCGCCAGGTGATGATCCGCTCGTCGGTGATGGAGTCTGGTGGTCTTCTTGCTCTCCTCCGATCCGCCGCTGCCGATGAGAGTTGGGAAAGTGGGGAAAGGGAGTGGTGAGGGGCGGTGAGGCTAATAATTGCCGGCGCTTCGGGAAGCAACGCGGCTTCTCGAGTGTGGCCGCGCGCGTGCAGCCGCCGCCGCCCACGTGCATCGCTCGGGCCTGGCCCTGAAGAAACTGTCGATTCAGGCATTCCCGGGGAGCCAGGCCCAGGAGTGCTTTAATGTTCGTGCCATGCGGGCCTCACAGTAAAAGCAGGCAACCAAACAGGCCGGATTCTTCCCGCGCGGGCCTGGTTGGGCCTCGTGCAGGCAACCAAACACGCCCTATTTGTTTTGCACCCACCGTGCGGCTAGGCCAAAATATACGACTGCCTAGAAAAAAATTGCAGCCCAAGGGATAGGACATCTGCTCAAGCACCGTTTTTGGTGCAAATTCCCTGGAAACGATTTTTGGGGGCTGTTGGTGATGCTAATAACAAAAGTAGCCTAGCTGAGATTTCACTTTAAAAACATGTGTAAAATAGAGAAACAAACTATATTATGGATTTCATATTGGAAAAAGAGGTTATACTCATACTTGTCGCTACATATAACAATCATGCGGAACGGGCAGGCCGGTGCATGTAGGTCCCACTTGGACAGGGTCCAGGGACGGGTTCCGATGACTTGGGCCTACAGCCTTTTCCGACATTTCTGCAAGAGACTGTTTTCAGGAGTTTAACCCGTGACCTCACAAGATCACAAGGCAGACCACTGCACCAAGGCTCCCCTCATAACAATTATGCAGAAAAAACAGAACAAAATTCCACACAGCAGCATCTTAGTCCTTACTATAACTGACAATTCAGCTAGCTAAACGTTGTACGAACGAAATGATAATAAAGTAAAAGAGCGAAAACATTTCCAACAATTAACACGAAGAATTCACTTGCATACCAAGCATACTATATCTTACGATAACAGGGTATACCTGAATTAAGATAGCTATACGAGTCACGGACCCAAACAGCACATAGTTGTTACCCAATATAACTCTGAATACTGGACGACTAACACAGGAACCTGAACGCTAAACTGAGAAAACCAAATGCAAAAGGCATTTGTGATGAAGGCTTGCTACTATGAACAACTTTGAGCAGGCAATTGCATGATGGACAAATCAGCAGCAGACACCACACAAATGCGGAAAATCTTGCGCATGGGACTTGGTGAAAGGAGACGACTGGCTAGACCAGCCCCCAGTCCGTGTCGAAAATGCCACCATTATCATTATCCTGCATTAAGAAGAATGGCATGGTTAGATGTTCATTCCCTGTTAAAGTCGTGAATTTTACATAAAAGATAGTAAGTACTACAAGTCCCCAAACTGGCAGATCACATAAAGATCAAGTAAACAGTGGGAGTGTAAGCTAAATGTATACGTGCAATCATGCACATAATATAAAGTACCTCAGTGTACTGTTAGTGTACTTTCCTATAATAATGTTACAGGAATCAAAAGTACTACTACCAAAATAAAAGTACATCTTATCTTAAAAGGAATAGAACGCCACACATGCATGTGGGTTCCATATGAAATAAAAAATGCATGTCCGGCTTCAGTGGAGTGTTTGCACCACCATAAAAATGGTGAGCCAGCGAGAAAATAGTTTGTCAAGATTACTATTTTTTCTAAGCTAGTCAACATTACTATGTAGATGCAAAATAGATGAAAGTTTGGCATTAAGATATATTCTGCTGAAAATAAAATAAAAAGAGAGGATCATACCGGCCTGAACATGTCAACAACAATGTCATCCAGACCACCACTGAGCTCCCTTTGCAGCCCACTTGTCCCCACAAGATCATTGTTGTTGTAATTGAGCTGATTACCAACAGCTTGCTGATCAATCTTGCCATCCTGCAGAGAGGGAACACCGCCTGTATTCCCGCCATCCAGAGTCTGCCTTGGCACAACCGAATTGTCAATGCGAAGGTTTGGCAATGAAGTGTTGATGCCTGAGTTGCTGAACGCAAGGTTGCTATTGAGCGCCTCTCTCGAGTTTGTGCTGTTTCCAAAGGTGAATGGCGCTGCACCCTGATTGAATACCATTGGAAGGCTATTGCTAGCTAGTGGTGCTACTTGGTTCTGCATATCATTTCCCAGAGATGTAATCTGATTTGATGGTGGTGCATAGCTAGAGACAGGTTCCATCCTAGGGCCATTCCCATGCAAGCTTGCTTGGGACATGCTGCCGTTCTGACCAAGTTGCTGAATGTTGGACGGAACTGCAGTTTGCCAGGTGTTACTACTTCTTCCAAGATCCGGAAAGTGGGGAGAATCACTAGCGAATGAGCTAAATGAGTCTGTCGAAGACGAATTTATCCGACCAAGGTGTTGCCTGTTGTTTGATTCAAGAGACTGAACTGCCCTATTTGTAGGAGCCAATGGTGCACCATTTGAAATGTTTGCAAAAGAGTTACCAGAAGTACCAGTCACCATGGTTGAGATGTGTGCACCCCTGATCAGGTTACCATTATTGACACCCAAATCGTTCAGGGAAGTGCCCAGATTATTCTGGGCATGGCCAAGGTGAAGTGGCTGAGACTGTGGAGACAGCAACCCATGCATTCCGTATGCAGAAGGGGAGTTCATCCTTGCAACAAGGTTATTTGACTGGGAATGGTTGCTGGTTGGAACTGGTCGGTATCTACCGTACGTGTTGCTGTAGTGCCTGAAGACATCCATTGAATTCATATTGCTGTAAGCAGGGTTCCTTCCTCCAAGTGCAGCAACGAGGTTAGCCTGTCTACTTGCATCCATACTCATCCTTTTCAGATACAGCCGGTACTTCTGAAATTATGATAAAACAGCAAGAATCAATGAATTAGAATGACATTCAAAAACAAAATAGAGGAATGAAGGCTAAGACATGATCAATCATCAAAAGAACAGTTCCATACAGAACTCAACTGAACAGATTGAAAGATATGCTGACAGCAATAACTTTCTTCTTTTGGTAATACTAGGAAACAAACATGGCAATATAAGTTATTTAAATGGAGAACCAAGCGCTAGCTCGGTCAGCTAGAGCTTACAGGTGTAAGCTCGCCCACCCTCGTTCGATCTGCAGGGAAGACTCATTTCTATATACTCCCTCCGTCCCAAAATACTTGTCATCAAAATGGATGAAAACTTGAAAAGAGATGTATCTAAAACTAAAATATGTCTAGATACATCCTCTTCTATTCATTTTGATGACAAGTATTTCCGGACGGAGGGAGTACTAACTAACGCACAGTCAAACAGGAGGGACTCTTACCCCTTTAGCCAACGTTTTTATAAGTTACTTAATACATAAATTGGGGATCACAAGAAAATAACATGTACTGTTATACTGCAAATGAAAATGCTCTTTTAATATTTATCAAAATTCAGAAACAAATCCTCTTTCAACTACAGATTATGACTGGGATATAACAATTAGAAGTTGGGCTCCATAATAATCTTGGTACAGACGTAAAAAAAAATGGTAACACACATGGATAGAAACTGAACCTGCAGATGACTAGCAACATTCTCCCTGGTGATGTTCTCTACATTCATGAGGTCCAATATCTTCTTTGGAACAGCCTCTGTGTTTATGAACAGAGATATGTTACTACAGACAGCATAATGAACCCAGAAAACAAATAGCCCAACATTTATGATAACAACGATATGAAGTGAGATCTTACTGTCGATGCCAAGCTGGTTGACAGCAGCAACAAACTTCCGGTGCAGCTCCACAGACCACACAACTCTTGGCTTCTTCTGGGATGACGAGTCGCCGTTGTCATTACTGTTTTCATCAGAATCATCACCGTCATCTCCATTCTCATCTCTATCCCTCCGTGACTGCCTCTTGTTGCGGTTAGCTCCGCCATTCTCACCTTCAGCATTCGGCCCTTTCTGACCGGCATCATCATTGTCACTACCACGGTTCTTGGTATTCCGCCTAATCACATGTTGCCATATTGTCTTGAGCTGCTCAAGACGCACCGGCTTTAGCAGGTAGTCACATGCTCCATGAGTTATGCCCTTCATGACTGTCTGTGTCTCCCCATTTGCAGACAACACTGCATAATAGATAGTCATTGATCAGTTCCAGAATAAACAAAAAATGTTAAAATGCATGACATCATTGACACTTTGTTCATATGATCAGACGCTAACACATATAAAACACTAACTAGGAAACAATTAATAGCAATTCATTACAGTAGCAGGCCTTTTGTCCTTTCTCATTTCTTCTCCAGTTGTTACACGTGTAGGGCAATAACACAATACAGCCACTGCTTTCAGTTGATACAACGAGTGGTAGAGCAGGTAATCAATTATGCAATATGATCACGGTAATGAACATATATCTAACAAAAGTAGCAGTAGCACAGCAAAGAACTATCTGCAATATATTGGAACTGGGAATCTTTCATTGGTTCCCTGACCCATGCACCAAGCTATGAGTAGCCTCAAACAGATCTGAACCACACAAATGAACAAAGATTTTCCATCTTCCCTAACAAAACTAGCAGTAGCACATCGAGGAACTATTTGCGATGTTTGTAGGTTAGCAGACATAATTCATCTCCAAAGTTCTGGAGCACCAAATGACATGAAATGAAACAAGTAGATTCACTCGACAATCATTCCCCGGCAGTGATATCTTTTAGAGCATCGTTTACAAAGAGCAGCAGAGGATTAAGCAGGTTAGCCTTACTAATGACTGGGAGGTCCATCTCCAGACCGACAAGCTCGAGGAGCTTGAAACCATCCATGTCCGGCATGTGGACATCGCTGATCACGAGGTCAAACTGGTCCTTGTTCTCCCTGAGCATCCTGAGGGCGGTGGCTGCCTGCCCAGTGGTTGTAACTGCAACATCACAGCAGATCGAATCCAAACACATTAGCAAACCACCATAACAACACATTGCACACATAAATCTAGGTTTCGGAAGGATCGCCAACGAGAAGAAGAAGAGGACCGCACAAGCTGAAAGGGGTGAAAGAAAATCCAAGCAAAATTCCCATCTAAAAAACATGAGCAGTTGTCACCGTGGAAATCTAAAACTAAAACCACGAGAAGAGACGTGCATGGGAGATTGTCCGATCTTGCATAGGTGTTTGGACGGAAAAACGCAGATTCCAAAGCAAGGTTATTCCCAATAAAGTGGCTAGGCGAAAAAAAGGGGAAGAAGATGAGAAATCGGCAAACACAATAATGACAAAAATCCAATCATAAATTGACATTACACAGCACCCTGCAAAAAATAGACCGACAGGGCAAGTGAAAAATAGGGAGCGTAAATCCCAGAAAACCAGCGGTGTAAATGCAAAACTCGGGCGCCAAATCTCGCGAATAGCACGCGCATCAAGCAAACAAGCGAATAAATCTAAGGGAAAAATACACTGTGGTAGAAGAGCACGGAACCAGACGGGTCTGTACTTGAGACTTTGAGAGCAGTACAGATTCATCTCCTCCTACTAGCCCTGGACCACGCTGGAGGGAGGGAGGGAGGGAGGGAGGAGGGTGCATGTTGGCGACAGCGATTCCCGTACCATGGTAGTCGCAGCGGCGCAGGAGGTTCTCGAGGACCTTGAGGCAGGTGGGGTCGTCGTCGACGGCGAGCACGCGCATGCCGACCGGGAACTTGTCCTTGCCGCCGCCGTCCCCCCCGCCGCTGACCCTCCCCTCCACGGTCATCTTCCTCCGCGTGTCCTACACGGCACGGCCGGGTCACCTAATGCCCCGGCGAACGGCGCGGGGACGGGCTTCGCTGGATCCTACGAATCCAAGCGGCGAGCGGCGGCGGGGAAAGGCGTGGCGGGCAGATGAAGCCAGGCAGCCAGCCAGCAGGGTCAAAGCAGGCAGGGGGGAGGGGAGGCAGGGAGCAGGTAGAGGGTGGG